CATTGTTGTTTCTGCTGCTGTCTTGTGCTCGAAAAAGAGTAATACCTTGGCGCGTCGAAAAGGAGAAGAAATTAGCCGCTCGATAATGAATGAGTTTTAGCTGCTCGTAGCAGTTCCTCGTGGTGTATGTATGTATAAGCTTTATATCATAACAACTGCTGGCCTGCTACCTGCAGCCGATGATGACTTATATACGCGTCGATAAAAATCAATCGCCGATTCAGAGTCCGTAAATCAAAATAGCCACACGTGCGCGCGCGCAAGAGAGAGAAAAAGAGAGAGTGAAAGTCGCTCGATGATAATTACATTTTTCTTATCATCGCTTCCAATGGCTAAATTGAGCTGTTTCGATCAATCAATTCAATACTAATATGCTCGAATATATCTGCCTATATAGATATTATATATTATACGTAACGTATAATATACGGATGAATTAATCGAGGCTTGTATAACAGGCGCGCGGCTCTGAGCGGCTCTTATAGTTGAAATATTGATCATTTTGGCAAGTAATCGCGGCGAATTTTGTAACATTTTGCGATGTAAGCGCGGAAACCGAGCACAAAAACAAAACAAACCGGCTGCACGTGGATCTCCATTAAAATATTTGTATAATGCGATGATTTTCTGGTGGTTAATCCTCGAAGCTGAAACGACAGTATACCCACAAGTAGTATACTTTCTGTTTGAAATAGCAATGAAAATTGCCGATTCTTCCGACGTTTCAGCTATGTCAGCCAAGCAGATGATGAAAAAAAGGGAAAAAAAAGAAGCTACGAGCTATAAAGGTCAGGCCACTCTGGTCACAATTTTCCATTTTGTGTGCGGCTGCTAGTTTGCAAGATGTTCCCTTTGATGCGGTTTACTTGCGCACACACTTTCGCTCGCTCTTTCTCCCTCTGTGCTCTCTGCCTATATCACTCCTTGCATCTACGTGGTTTTCTCGCATCACGGGCAACCCAGAGGCGTGTATGTAATTTCCTGGCAAACTGGCCACCTAGTTTAGTCAGAGTGTATGTGTGTGCGAGTCAGCCAAAGCTCGAGAGAGAAGCGGAAAAATATATAACGACTAGGCAGAGGCTACGTACGTCGGGCAAAAGAAAGAACTCGATGCGGAGAGCAAGTGACGAAGTCAAAAAAAAAAGGAAAACAAAACAAAATGAAACAAAGAGCGCTGTTGCAAGTGAATTAGAATGAAAGGAGAGCGAGAGCGAGAGTGCGAAGAGAACTAGTAGCTAAATGGAAGAGCTGAGAAAAAAGAGAAGCGATATATAGAGAAAAGAAAGAATAGATAATAGCATTTGCTTTAGCTTGCTACCTGTTAGTTAGGAAAATCGTTTATCCGGAAAAAAGTCATTTACGAGCTTGAACGGTGAGCAGCTGAAAAAGATTCTTTAGCTATTATTTCAATGAAAATTGAATTTAGCAAAAGAAAAAGAATGAAGCTCGAAAGCCTCGACCACGAGAATTCTCACAATAGCATACTGTATTCGATCGAATCTCTATATGACAATTCTACTGCACAAATGACTTGCGTATACGTCGCGATGGGCAGTGCAAATGTACGATTCTTATACGCAATACCAGTCGAAATGTTGCAACACGATCGCTCGTTTGTTCGAGCAAAAACCGAGAGAGAAAGAAAAAGAGGCAAGCCAGGTGAGCTGCTCGCGGCAGGGAAGGTCGACTGCAGGGAGAAAAACGAAAGACGCACATAGAGAGTCGCAGAACTGCATGCACGGGGAATCCCGAGTGTGCGTCCAAGCGCGCGGGGTGCAATCTTCTCATAAAGCCCGCGTACTGCAGCACAAAGGTAATTATGTCAATCGACATATACGATGTGCCTATAGTTGCATTTTTGCTCATATAACGATCTCTGCGTGCGCTTGCCTCATTGACTAGCGTCTTTTTATACGTACGATATATCGAAGCTCGAATACGAATTACTGCCACTTATAGTCGAGATCCGTGTGCACGCCAGCTATTTGTGCACGTGATACCGAGGGCGGGGGGTATTATAACAAATCGCGTTGGATTCATAGTAAGTTATTGAATATACTCTGCAATCGCGTACGCCGTTCCTCTGCGTCAATGCTCGAAACTCGTGAATTGCGAAGCGCTGCTAGCGCGGACGATCTAGCTAGATACATGCGTGTGCGATGCAATTTCTTCGACTAACGCGCGGAGAGCTGCGCACACCAAGTAGCAGAGAAAGATATATTAAAAGGTGCGGTAGCGCCTAGCCTGCAAAGTATAAAAAAAAGAATATTAAAAAATTTTTTTCACAAAAAAAAATTATTTCAAGTAAAAGTTATTTTCAAAAAAAAAAAATTATTTAAAAAAATTTTTTATGCAAAAACAAATTTTCAAAAAAAAAGTATTAAAAATGATGATAGGAAGATGAAATATACAGTTGCCGATTTTTAATTTATATACAGAAGAAAATAGAATTGTTATATTTGACATTTTACAGGCACAAATAAAAAGTCATTAAAGCCTTTGTCCTACAAGTTCGATTGATTTTGTTTACATGTAATCCAATAAGGTCTGGGCACGCAAAGTAATATTTCGTACTGAAAATCTGAGTGCAGCATAAGCAAAGTGTTGCTATTGACTATGACTTGTTTCATGATTAATGGGCAGATAATATCAACAAAAGTAACTTTGACGATTTTTTCGAAATTTTAATATTTTAATGAATTATCTTCATAGCCGTTGTAAATAACATTTAAAAAATTTATAAAGGTCACACTGTATCAAATAATTAAAAGTACATCTTTGACGATTATTTCGATATTCCAATATATTAATTATAAATTATTTGTGAAAAATTACAATGAATATTTTATCGGTCACGTTGCTATTAAAACTCTTTTGTTGTTAATAAGAGTATACTTTGCCGGAATTCAAACTTATTTATAAGTAGCTTAAAATGTAATATTAGCCAAGACCGATCAAGCAAATAAATATATTATTGATCAATATTATCAAATACTTCATTTAAATAGTTAACCGTAACTGTGACTAAGTGATTGCATAAACTATTTCAATTAAAGTTAGATAATGGTTATCTATTAAAATTGGAGGAAAAGCAGATGAAAAAGTGTACCATAATTATAATCAGAAAAAATAATACTTTGCCAGGATTCAAACTTATTTATATGTCATTGAACAGTTAATATGAGCACTGCCCGATAATAGAATAATATGTAAAAGAACGGTACAGGCACTACTCATACAAATCGATTTTGAAAATTACAATTGGTTCATTATTCGTTATGAACTAGTGTCTAAAACGGATACGCCAATTTCTCATGCTATACATAAACGTGCGTTAATTAAAAAAAATTCAGGTGTGCCATTCTTAATTTAAAAAAAATTACATTATTCACGAGTTCAATAAATTACTCAAAGTTCTCAATGACATCGTGTACATCATTCATAGTTTTGTTCCATCATCTCAAGCAAACTTTATCTAATTTGTAAATGTTTCTTATCTGTCTTTCGAATAAATATAAAATTTTCTTAACAAATCATAACACATGATATCGTGCATCAGACGATAAGAGCCCGGCGAGCTTTCGCAATTCACGATAATAGTTCCATCTGCTCGCAGCATACGAAATACAGAACGTGCGATTGACGTTTAGTCTTGCTGAACGATTCTTTTTTCCGAGTAGTTCATGCGAACTACGCCTCAAAATTTGTCAAATTATGTGAAAAAAAAAAAATGAAGCTAGTGTTAACGTTTACGACGCTCTCGTGTTTCGTTAGTGCCTACCAGTTTCCAGTAAGTTTTTCCCTATATCTACCAACATATCACAATGAAATACCACGCAAGGAAAAAGTTGAGTTCAATTGGCCGTAATCACTTGAAATTGCAGGGGATTCTGCAGAAGAATATCGAGCAAGTATTAATATACATGCGGACCATGTTTGACCGAGACTGGAATTCACGAGGGTATAACAGCGAGGCAATTATTAACGTTTGTATAGATTGGATTGTACATGACAATAATCTGCTGTTTTTTTAAAAGATTCGTTACAGGCCTTAAATATTATATACTTGTAGCGAGGAGACATTACAAGCGATACAGCGAGAAAGAGAGATAGAGAGCTATATATAAGCAGGATCGCTCCACGCGCGAGTCCTTGGCTAAAAGTCGAAGTGGGGTCCTCTCCGCGAGTGCATGCTCGCTTGCGCCCGCGTTGCAGTACGCCACATGCCACGCCACCACGATTGGGCCATATAGAGTAGGGGATAATAACTGCCGCGCGCAGTGAATGTGGGCCCACGCACCGCGACGTTTTTACGTTTAGCGGCACTGCGTTTCTGCCGTAGTTCGAGAGGCACGCTGCAGTCGCCTGCAGTTATCGCCCAATCGAGCAGTAGTGAGGCCACGATCGAGCAGGACATTGCTCAAATCTCAACGTCTTCGATTATATTTATAGTTGATCGATAAACGATACTCTTGCCAACGCATCGAGGGAATCGACCTTCGATGTGCTCGGAAAAACGCGGAGTAGATGAGTTGAGAGGATGTTACCGATCTGGGCCCAAAAGTGAAGGTCTGAAGCGCTCGCGATTAGCGCCCATAAACGCGCCTTTGCTCGCACCTTAGCGAGAATCGGATATTCGAGTTTTGCGTCTCTTGTGCGTGGCTATATAAATATATTATATACGTATGTAAGTGCAGTGCACGCACACTCGAGCCAAAACAGCAGGTGAATGGCAGCAGCAGCAGCAGCAGCAGCAACGGCAGTAGCAGCAGTTGCAGTTGCAGCAGTAGAGGCAACAGGTAGGCTCGAGTCAAGATAAGGCCTCGAAGTCAGTGAGAGGAGAACCGGCGACTCGAGAGAGCGGCGGCCGAGGTGCCGGACACTCGTGCGCGTGCATAACAACACAACACAACGCACTGACCGAGCTCCGCCGATTTCTGGATTCCATGTGACTCGAGCCAACTCGACGAAGCTTCGTCATCCCAAAAACCATCGTCAAGATGGGTCGCCCATCGAGAGCAAAGCTCGGCGCCCTGTTGCGACCGGTCCTCTGTCTAGCTCTTCTGTTTTGCTTGATCGATCGGTGCGTCAGTCAAGATGACAATAGCACCAGCACCAGTAGTAGCACCACGACCGAGAGCTACAGCCACATCTTGAAAATCGAGAGGGGTCGAAAACCGACGCACCACCACGAGCCAAATGAAACGGCCTCGAGAAGCAGCAGCAGCAGCAGCACCGAGAGAAGCAAGGGCCGACCGGAGTTCAGCAAGAACAATCCCGAGGTCGACTGGAAGACGAACCTGCTGAAAGTCGCCGAGCAGGAGGCCAAGAGCCATCAGAAGAATCTCGATCTGGACTTTATGAAGGACAAGTTGGAAAAAAGTGCCAATAGTATACAGTGGTTGGCGGATCTTTACGATCCGCTAAGGTGGGTCAAAGTACCCGGGGACATAAAGCCCGAGTGTCGCGGGGACCTGGACGCGTTCCTGCACGATCTCAAGCACGGCAAGCTCTGGGCTGCTAAACGTAAGTATCATTATGTACACCTTTACGAGAGAATCGATCCGAGTTTTGCTACGCACGGCGAGCGCGCGAGTTTAAAATATCCGCGCGCGACAGAGAACAAATGGTATGGCTCAACAACCGCAGCCGCGCAGCTGTGCACTGCAACGCCGTTATTAACGCGCAAAAGTGCGTCCCCCGATCATAAATTGCCGTTTTCCTTTTCCGTTAAATGTGCTCTCTGAGCGCGCGTCGAAAGTATTTTACGTCGAAAGAGAAAAGTCAGCGAGCGCGCGCTGCTACTGCTCCAAGGTAGCTGCTGCGGCAGCTATTAAGGAGCTGAGCGCGCAACGACGTTTCGTATCGTTGGTTAGCGGGCAGATTTTTCGTAACATCTGTATGTATAACGCGCGCAACACAATGCCGCGAGGAGCAAGGCTTCAAGTGCACCGAAATATCATATTTTTGAGAGCTATTAAGCCGAGTGAGGCCCCCGCTGTGGGCCGAGAATATAATATCATAATGAGCCTGTGCAGCTGGGGCACATACACCATAGAGAATGACCTACTTGTTTTAGCTCGCGAGCTCGGTGCATTCTCCGTACTTGCTGTGTGTTGATGCATGTGTGCGCGGCCACGAATGTATCAGTGTCTTTGTGCGTTGTATGCAATGCGCGCGTCAAAGCGATTAAAGAAAGAGAATCGATTTCACTCTTAAACATCGCGCACACATCTCGCACTTAGTATTTAGCACTCTATGCCATACACGAGGCAGTGCCATGCGCGGCGCGCGCGAGCCGAGCCGAGCTCTCCTGAGAAAGCGAACACATATATAGTGTGTATATAATACCTGCCGCGTACGTTTGAAATCAAGTTTGGCGCGCTGCCGACGTCGCCACCGATTCGTTGCGCGCGCGTGTGCGTATGTCTGTGTCTGTGTACACACTGCATCATGGGACTCGCGAAACTTTATAGAAAGCAACAGTGACCGCACACACACACACACACACACACACACACACACACACACACACACATGCACACTCATTCTGCGAGCTTATAGCCGTAATACAGACACACACACGATGATATGTGCACACATGTGTGTGTGTACGCGAGCATGTGTTCGCTAACTGCACAGATATTCTTGTGTATAATGTGTGTTTCGGCAGCGGTGGCATTTTACAACCTCGCTGCACAGCTACGATCGATTTGTAATCCCCCTTATTACATTATTGCGCTGCACATGTACCAATTGTTGCCTTCGCTTTCGTGTATCATTGAAATATTTCACTATTCGCCTTGGCGCGCGCGTATGTCTGCAATTAATAAAAGCCTAGTCGAAAAGCGCAACAACGTTTACGTATATAATATTATAAACTACGACTCGCGAAGGTGAAAAACTGCACTCGTTGACGGGCTTGTATAGTAATAAGCATATTGTATACGTACAACACAAATAATAATACCGTAGAAAGTTTTTGGAGGATGAGTGATGATAATGACGAGACGATGAAACGCCGGAGATAACGAGGAAGATTCATTGTGATTACATTAAACGGTAGTCGCGCGAGGAATTACATCTTTTCACGTGCAATGTGTTCGTTCCGAGGCTCGACGACGACGTCCGTGCCGCTTAATATTAAGAAAGAGAGAGAGAGAGAGAAAAAAAAACTAAAGGACAAAAAAATAAAGAGCCTGAGAAATGACACGCTGCCGCGCGACGGCGGCTACGGCAGCTATACGGCAACGCAGGATGATGTTTTACACGCTGCACTGCGCGCACCTTTTCGAAAGTATTATTTTTTCTTCATTTTTAGAAAGGCTAAACTTATAACGTCGATTCGGTGGGATTTTACCCAAATGACACGTTGTTGTAAAATTCAGCATACTTGAATTGGCGACTGCCGCCGCCACCGTTACTGTCGACGCGCGAGCAGCCGGGACGAAAGCTATATTACACGCGTGACCTTTCGAAATGCAATATACAGCGTGCACACGGCGGTATATGCGCCGGGAGCCCGCTCAAACGGCCAAACCAAGCGAAGTTCCGATTTTGTATATGAATATTGCGAAATGCCTCTATGGGTTTATACGTGCCCGATCGCAGGCGCGCGTTTAACGAATATATTGAGTCATGAAAGTGACGACGCGATATCGGCCGCAATTCACCTATACAGCTATGCTACTACCTGTCCGCGCGCGTGCATCATGCAGTGCACCTGTACAATATGTGTGCATGTGTGTGTATGGTGCAGCGACAAACGCAAACATACGCGTCAGCCGTGCGTTAAAAGCGTCGAGCTCGCCGCCACCACCGCCGAGCGCGAGTTCAGTTACGAAAGTTTTGAAATTAAAAAAGTCAGCTACGAGAGAGCTCGGCACGGTATAGTTTCGGCGCAGCAGCAGCAGCGATCTGCTGCGTGTGCCTTTTCGACCTCCTTTTGTCGGGGATTAAATTTCGAGACTCGTTGTTGATTTTTCCAGGATTCCATTATCATTGGCCGTAAAGTTGTGCTCCGTTGTTGTTGTTCATTTTTTTTATTTTTTTTATTTTTATTTCAAAAATTTAATGCAACTTGTATCTCCGGTATCTTTCTGCGCGCGAAACCTTAAGAGCTCGTAAAAAGTACCGAATACAATCGTTGTAAATTCTCCTCTCTTTCTCTCTTTTCTCGCGAATATCTCACTCGAACGAGAGTGCGCATAGGATCATTATTATGGCGGCCGATGCCGTCACTATACTGGCCGGATAATTTTCAACCGAGCCGTTCTTCGTCTCTCTGTTTCGTAAAACTTGCATTTGCTTCATGTTTACGTATGATTATTTCTCCTTTTTTGCTTCCTCTCTTTCCCTTTCTGTATACGTTAATGTAATAAATGGCCTGGTTGAAAGCCAAACGCGCGGGATGAAAATGTTGGCGAGCAACGCACCAAAAAAAAAGGAATTGATTTTAATTCACTCCGCCTGCTCTCCTGCACCTATCTTAAAATCATAAAAACGCAGGCATTTCGTATTAACATATATTATGCGTGCGCGCTACGCGCAGGAATATTACTGCGCGCGATATTCTCTTGAGTAATAAGCATATAAAATTTTTTTTCTTTTTTTTTAAGCTACCCTCGTATCAGTCATGGCAATCGCTACTTGAGTGGAAATCTAATTAATTAATCAAATAGCGCGCAGCGAGTGTAGAGCATTATATTTCCTTAAAATTTATGCACGCGGTGGCATGTGCTGCAGCGCTCTAGCTCTCTGCGAGCTTAGTTTTGCAAATTCATCAAATTTTATCGGGCGCAAACTCGCGATCAAATTTCCCGTGACACTCTTCTCTTTCTTTCTCGCGTCTCTTCTCCTCTCGGTCCATGAGCTATATACATATATTATTTATATATTATATATATCTGTACGCCGGCACACACACACACACACACTGACGGCTAATAACTTTTCGTAATAGGAGAAAATACTCGTGCGCTCGTATGTACTCGCCGATGTAACCCGAATCGCGTTGCACTTTCTACTTACACACGTACGGGCGCCGCACTCACTTCCTTTACGCAACGCATGGCAATGAAAAGCGGTATAAATCGCGCGCGGTGGTGGCGGTGGATGCGTGTGTCTGTGTGTATGTGTGCGCGCCGCAACGAGCCCACTGCAGTGCAGTTGACACACGTACGACTCGACGCAGCGAGCTTCGCCCGTACTATGGCAACTTCTAACTGCACCGATATGTACTGTGTCCAAGCTCATACATGCCTATCTAACGTCCTGATGAACCTTTGTGAAAACGTAAAGGAAACCGATTGTACTCAATGTTAAGGTCGAGTCGGCTTAATGATTCTCTCCAAGTTGCAAGCTGTTCGCGATGACGAACGTAATTTATAAGCTTCAAGAGAATGACAATGCAACGATCGAGTACTCGAGCAATTTGCAATTGATTTTGACGATATGCATTTTTGATAATCGACCGAAATTCTATTTTCTCAAACGTCGAGCCACACTTCGAACGGAAACAATCGACAAACCTCCAATGATTATTCACGAGAAAACTTCCTTTCAAAACAAACAGATGCCCTCGAATATAAACGCCAGAGTGTCATTCGATAAAGTGCAAATATTGACGATCGGCACGAAAATTTCGCTCGGCAAGGTGTGCGACGGATACGGTTACTTTCTTTCTTGGCACGTAATGTATTACATGTGCAGCAGCAGCAGCAGCAGCAGCAACACACACGGGCGCGTATATAGCGCGGCTCGTTATGTATATAGCGTATGTTTGACTCGGCGCGCAACACACATATAATGCACACACATGTGCGTTTGGAACGCATGCAGTATGCAAGTTGGTTATACCCCAGGCTCGTTTAACGAATAATTGGCAAAACGCTCGGCAGCAGCGGCTCTCGATTATCTCATTCAATAACATAAATTCTTACTTACGCTACATTACGTTTACATATTATGCGCATCTCGGCGCGCGCTCGAGCCTCCGCATCCTTCGCGTGTACAGTATATTATGAAATCCGTTTCGTAATGTATATAAACACACATATACGCGCTGCGTGCAAAGCAAAGCACGCGGGGGATTAACTGCGGGACGGGTTTACGATGCGGCTGGTCAGTGCAGCGCACGCGTATAGATTCGAAACTTATGTACGATTGAGCCCCAGGCTGCTGCTGCTACTTATGCATCTTTGAACACTTTCTGATGACGCGAACAATGCGCACGATCGACCTTGTCAGATTCATTTTCCGGCTTGTCGAGCTCGATTCGTCCTCCGTTTTTAGACAGCTCTCTCTCAAATTGATTATTTATCGTCCTGGAAAAAGTGTAAAAATCTGGATCACGTTTCGTTCGAGATTGCTCGCCCCAAGATCCTTGATGTAAAATTGATACCGACGGAAATATTCCTCAGGGATATTAGCGCTCGGAAAACTTGGTAAATATTACCGCACCGACGTGCGCGCAGCTCGCACTACCGATATAGAATACGCCACACATGAATTATTTGGGTCATAGAAAATTGATTAATCACGTACAATCACGTATGGGACGACAATGTATTTATCTCTCTCTCTCTCTCCTTTGCCCGCAGTATCGGACGCCAGCGGACGCTACTCGTCACAGTATCACTTCGGAAATGGCTTCTGGTTGGGCTCGAGCACTCTGTGCCGCGAGCTCAACTCCACCCAAGGTCACAGCAACCGCAACGACAGCCTACCCTTTTCCGTTCAATTTTACGTCTCGCGTATGCTGTTCGTGCTGCCCAGCAGCATCGAGGCTACGGTAAGTTTATTACCACATTTTATCTTATTCATTCAATATTGAGTATCGATGAGTTATATGTATTTGAAAAAAAGGACAGAGAAATATTAAATAATGGCTGCGCTACGTGTGTGCACCTGTGGCACAAAAACTCAATTAGTCAAATACTCGAGCGTAATTCCTCGATCGACGACGATTGAAGCTGTTGAAATAGTAGAAAAACTATCGCGACGATCTCGTATCATGTTTTTTCAGCGCATATCTATCAAGTTTGTTTTACGGCGTTTGCAGAGAATTGCTGCACCTATCCTGCTAGAGCGTGCTGAAAAATTTCTTTTTTCCTTTTCCTTTTCTTTTTTTTAATGTTAGTGCATAATTTATGCCAGCAAAGGAGCGTTTCGACATAACTCATAGGACGATTATTTTTCTTCTTTTCGTATATCGATCTTGATCCGGAACATTCAAATTCATCGTTCACTGATTTATTATCGCGAGGACTAAAAAAATAAACAATTCTTCAACACTTTATCGTTCAAGTAAATAAAACTTTTAGTACTATAAAACAGATTTTTTTATCTTATTTTCGTTCGCATGAATTCGTTTAATATCCAAGAATAAACATTAATGCAAGACCAACTTCTTAAGATATTTCAAGAATATTTTCGTTCGAGGCTAAATAAGTTGTCGAATATTTGGCGTTAAAATAATTTTTCTTCCTTATTTTTCTCTTCTTTTTATAATTTGATAGTACTTGTACGCATATTTTTTCTCATTTGAAAAATAGTACGGAAAAAACTTGCTTAAATTCCTTGAAAATAACTAATAAGGATGTGTATACTCATAATAAGCGTGCATAATATACAGCATCTTACGATAAAAGCCGAAAGCATAAGGACGTAAATTAAAATCGCGAAAATCATTTTATTCAATTTTTTGTATACCGGAGAGACGTCATCTTTTTGTGGGACGCTTCAAGCACGCTCATTACATGTTCAAATTCTCAAACCCCAATCGAAGCCAGAAAAAAGAGAGAAACATAAATTATGCGCATTACGTGGCGTTTGCGTAATATCGTTATACTATGTGTATATGTGCAAGTGCTTAAGTGTAAGTACGAGAGGGAGCGAGAGAGAGAGAAAAAAGCGAGAGCAATTACGGGAGCTAATAGACGCATACCGACAGAGAAAGAGAGTCGTTTAGTCGACGAAATGGAAAAACGATTTTTCCTATTTTTCTGCATAAAAACTACTTGATTACATTGATATACGTGCGTGCATAATAATTTATAATTTTTATGAAGAGTTAATGCGAAATGAAAAGTGCGTGCTTTTTTGTTCCATCGCTGTGTCGCTCGATTACATCTTTGTCATTCATAACTTTTTTTTCGCCGCGCACTTTGCAAGCCCATATACAAACAAGAATAAGCATCAATGTGTTTGCTGCAAGTGTAGCGCGAGGCTTGCGCTCTATATAATTAGCCGCACACTCTCGACTGCGGCTGTACTCTACGTGTATACGCTCATTCTATTTTCTTGATATGCTGTAACTCGTTACAGTATCCTTTTTGCTCTATGTGTATACATAAATATTGAGTAGATTTTGCAGCTCGGCTATAAACTATGCCGCGTGAGTTAAGTTTTCGTTTGAATAATGCTCGCCGCGATCAAATTGCATAAGGCAATTTTTGCGCGTTTACTTTTTCCTTTTCTGTCCGTTCGTGTAATCTCTCTCTCTCTCTCTGCGCAAGGCACTGATTGAAAAAAAGTCTCAAATACGTTGGAGAATCGAGATCGTTGCCGCAAAGAAAAAGTAGCCCTTACACACGAGCCGGCAGCGGCAACAGTAGCAGCCATACATTGGCGAGTCAGTGCTTTGTCTGCTCGATTGCACAATGAATTCGCGTTTTATCTCGAAGACGAAGGAAGTTTGAGTGAATATTACGTACATTGTATGGTGCGGAGTTGTTGAATGCCTCGCTCGCGAATGAAAAGCCATGGATTTGAATTTATGTATATTACGAACACGCGGCAAACGATATTATTAAATCGCGATTGCATGCATTTCTGACTGACGGATTTTCTTCTTTTTTTATCCATTTTTTCTTTGTTGAAAAATGTCCACAGACGCGGCAGGTGTTCATCGGTCTCTGTCTGCCGAGCACGTGCGACCACGCATCGGTCAAGTCGATGCTGCGAGCTTGCGCCGACAGGGTCGAGCAGCAGGGCGAGGCCACTCATCATTCAACCGGCCCGAAAATCCACATTGTCCAAGTCAGAAAGGTACCCTCGAGCGATTATTCACCCTGGAACGACGCCAAGTTCTTCGCTCTTGCGTGAGTATAACAATAATCCTTTTCGTCTATATATAACCATTTCAATTGTTTCGTACGTGCGCGCGCGAGCGCTTCATTCGCGTACGCGATTAAAATTATTAACTATGATTAACGACGGGGCAACTTGGCGATGATATTGTGAAAGAAAGATTGATTTGACGCTTGGCTACTGTAATAATAGAAAGTAACCTGTTGTGTGATCATGTGCCATACGTGTGTGCATGTGTTGTGTCTACTGTGCAATGAACTGTCTTTACACATACACGCAAGAGTATACGTATGCACGACCTGATAATTTTAAGACGCTATCCCTGATAGAAATACTCAAAATTTACAATGGCTTAATGAAGAAAAAATTAATATTTAAAATGTTTTAAAATACATAACCATTAATTAATTTGTTGTTAGTAAATGTTTTTTTACAACTGCATTAATAATATTGACTGCATTTTAAATAACCTAAAAATGATAATTTAATTTTTTCAACAAATTTTAAAACAATTTTCAACCACTTTAGTATACATTTATACTGGTCTAGGTTTTCTCCACTAGATGGCTAGAACCTGCAAACCTACAAGTGTTTCAGTAAAAATCATTTTATAAATCAAAATACAGTTGGGTATCAATACGACGAATCGGACAAAATCTTCCGTGTTATAATTTAAATCAATGAAAATTTGAAAATTACCAGGCTACAGAAGCCAATTAATTGACCAGGCATTTTGAGGTGGGAAAAATAGTCTTGTTTCTCAACCCTGCAAGATTGTGCAAGTCCTAATCTTTCTATGATAAAAATAAGAATATAATACACGTGTTTTCATATTCAATCACTTAAAGCAACACACTTTTGTCACATCTAGTTTACCGATGCCTTAATTCAATCGAATACGACAAATTGATGAAATTGAATCATTGAATTAGAGCGATGAACTTGCATGAATCATAGCATATGCCACTTGCTTGGTTGCGGCTCGCTTGCCAAACACGCGCCTAGCGGTGGCTCGCTTTCACTGTTATACTGTTGTCGCGCGTCGAGATCGTCTATTTTTGGCCGGGCTGTCGGTTGATTTATGTACACGCTCGAACGACCTTATCAATCTTGCGTGTGCCAGTACATTCCTATAAATGTTTCTCTCCGTCTAACTTCGAATCCTAAACTACCCGAATTTATCGGCTCGAGCTACATGAAAAACGAGCTAACAAGCTTCCGGATTAACGTCTCATTTGAATTTTAATACGAGCGTGATACTCTGCTACAAGGTCCTTCCCCTTTTGCAGCGAATCAGAAAAACTTTGGGGAATGAAACCGGGAGGGGTTTTTAGTACGCAATTATACAATGTTTTCGCCGCTGTGTGGGTTTGCTCTAGAGCTAATGCGGATTTAATACGGTAGACGAACGTAACTTGGGTACGCGTGCACCGAGACATTCTCCGGGCAAATAGACACCCATGGTATAAAGTTCGCTATTCGCAATTCAGTTGATTCGTAAGTCGATCTCTCGAGGAGCGTGTGAGAACAAAAAGTAAAAACAAGTACGCGAGATTCTTGGATCCTAACATTTGGACGGTACAAAAAGTCACCTCTGATTCAGAGCTATCCGTATGTGTGCGTACGCGTATGTACGTACATGCGTCGACGCGATGCCGTAACACGAGCCTTAGTTCGCGAGCGCGCAAAAAATTCCAAAGCCGATCTTCACGTAATATTCGAGTATTATACATCGAATTTACGGAAGCGAAAAACTTTCCTTTTGCGACCGTACACCAGTAGGTATACGTGTGTGTATGTGTGCTCAAGAGAATTACGCAAACTTTTTTCTCGTACACTTGTCATCTGCTCCGTACGCTTGAGCAATTATCGAATGCATATAGCTACTTGCGGAGTATCAAAGCTTTTGTTTATCAAGATTTCATCCTGAGACTCGGACACGAAATCTGTGCTAAGCTATGAAAAATCTCCTCTTACTTCACCTCGAAATTATTTCAAAACACTTTTTTATTACAAACCGTGTACGTGTGTGTGCGTGCAAGAGAAAAAACTTGGTGCAGTATATATTTGATAACTGTAAAATGAGATTGGTAAAAATTATGTGTATTTTGTAACACGCATTAATGGATATTATACAAACTTTGTATATCTTGAACTAGTTACATAGATCGCAACTTGTCTATTTCGCAACTCGAATATTAAAATGGTCGCAACGTTCGAATTATTCATTCAAAGTAGCTGCTTTGCACTTATCCAATTTACGTCCGGCACTGACCGTTGACAAGCCATTCGAGCCCGGCGCTCAGACAGTTAATTGGCAAAAAGTATCTCTCTCTCTCTCTCTTATACAGTTCCGAGCAGTTTTGGCTCAGTGCTCGAATACAGGTGTACAGCCAGTCATTAACATTGACCCGTGCTGCACAATTACTTTGAGGTAAAAATCGCACGCGGTACGAATAATAATAAAACCGAGAAGAAAGACAAGTGTCGGTGCGAGATCGTTTTCGGAGGAGAGAAAGTATACATGATATACACGCGGCGCGTAGGCGAGTTTTCATCGCAAACAAGCGCGTCCAATCAAATATGGAGAGCAAAGAGCAGCAGCGCACATTCGGTCGGTGCGCGTTATGAGGCGTTTGAATTTAAACTCGCGCGCGCGTCGTGTGTAACACTTTCGAGTCGCTCGAGCGCGCGAATTATACGCGCGCTTTTCTGTGAGAACACGCGGAGCTCTCGTGAGTTGTTGTACAAAGCGTCGTATTTACGAGCGCGCGCTCCACATTGCGCTCCGTCGTTGAATAACTTGCGCCGCACAAAATGATCTGTGCGTGTACAGGTGCACTCGCGCACAATCTTATAATATATGCGGCTGCTTCGCTTCGAGTCATCGGAATCATTAACTTTTCGATCGAGCATAATACGCATCGGGTACAAAACGTTAGCTGATTAACCGCAGGAATAAAAAAAAACAAGAGAGAAAGAATAAAACGAGTTTTTTCTTCAAGTTGCGCGCGCGTGTGCAGCAAAGACAAAGAGATTAATTCGTCGGCGCAAGCAGGTACTTTTTTTTCAACAATGGAAAAACGACCCCGTCCGACTTTCGTGTCATCGCGCGGTTAAGTACATTAAGCCGGCGACGACGACACTCGTGCACAGATGTATTTATGCAATGGGCATAAAGACAGCTGCAGCAGCATGAGTTCCCCAGCCGGGGTAATGAATAATTGCGGTCAGTGGCCGATGACACTTTCAAAGCCAGTAGGCCTCTCTCTCTCTCTCTCTCTCTCTTTCTCAGTCTCTCTGCCTCTCTATCTCTAACTCCTTTTCAAAGTTTGCGCAATCATTCTGGAAAAACCTATACGTGCACACTTGATTGCCTTGATACCGATAGTTATCTAAAAAAGTTTCGCAAATTTTGAGTTTCTCAACGACGATATATAAACTTGGTTTTCTTCTTTTTTTTCTTTTTTCTACATCCATCCAATAAAAGAATGGGTGTGAATGCGAAGTACATGTAAAGCGAGAAATTATCCAGAGAGTCTCAGTCGCATTTGCCATTTGAATATAAACACTTTGTGGCCCGAGTGGTGTGGTACGTGGAGAGCTACATTTATATACATACAAGCGTGGAAATTAATGCGCGCGGAATGAGAGCTAAGGATTTCAAGGCAAGTTACAATCTAGTCTAATGCATAGCAACGGTCGCGCTATACACTGCACTGCAGTGTCAACCTGGCCGCGATTATACTCTCGGAGTTGCGTGCCACGACGACGACGACGACGACGACCCACCCGATGCAATGCTAAAAGTTATCCCATTTTATGGGCCTGGCGGTATCTGCGCACGCTCCGGCAAAACGCCTTTCTTATTCTTCCGCATTTCTGCTTGCACTTCTTCTTCTTCTTCTTCCGTGCCTCTACCTTTTTCTCACACTCTTCCGACTACGGTCTTTTACTTATTGGAGCGAGGTTGAAAATATAGTGCGAGAAAAAGTGCGATGATGCTTTTAACTCCAGATTAACTCGTTCCAAAAACGTTATTCGATCGTGCATTATCTACGTTCAAAAAGTTTTCTCGAACGTTACAATGCCCACATTAGTTCACTAGCTCGCTTACACTTGGAGTGATGTATAGTAGCAGCGCGCAATGTAGAACTCGCTCCTCTTTTTTGCCTTCGATACATCAATTACGCGATCTCGAACCAACGATGCGGCGCGAAAATCTCGCGCGCGCACTTTGCAAAGTTGCCTGGTAATCACTCTAGCTGCTGCTGCTGCTGCTGCTAGTAAACGCAAGTGCAGCTTCTTCATAATTATTACATCAAAGCCACCACACAATTTGCTCCAAAGTGACGCTCGCGCAAAGAGCAGTTGAGCAATCGGCTATACATGAAACTGGTTTTAAAATTCTATTATAATGAGGCGCGCGCTAGAGCTAGGTAATGAAGTTTCGGTGCTTGTATATAATATCGTAAGTACACGTATGTGCCATGTACGGTATAAGAGTGTGTACCCACATCGCGTCACCACCGCACGCATCAACATCTGCATCGAGCTGCAATCGTTTGTCATTATAAACGTTGTTGTTCCGACTATATAGTAAGTCACTGCAGCCACCGCGACGCGTCATAAGGTTTCTTCGCGATTGTAAATCGTGCACGTGTGTATATATGACCCATAAAGCAATTTTTCACGTCGTCGATGACCGACCGAAATTGAGTAATAAGTCGCCGTCGTCGTCATCACGTTTGCTATATAGATCGACGATACACATATAAATTTACCCGTAAACTCGATGTTGTGTAAACTCACGGGGGGAGGGCTTTTCTCATAATCGCGTGTTACGGAAATTCATTTCCTCAATCTTGCGCTGCTGCTGCAGGAGAGTCGTGTTGTCACGCCTTGGCGAATTGAAACGAGCTGCTGCGCTGCTGTACGGTAATTCGATTCATTAGGCGAGACAAGAGTTTGTTCTTTTTTTTTTGTTACTTCCCCACGCGGTCCTGCGAGCCAAGCGCCCCGGACAAGGCATTATTATATAGCGCTGCGCTACTGCTGTTTTTCTCTCTCCTAATTCGATAAAAGTGAGAAGCACAAAGCCTGTTACGGGCAATCGAATCTCGGAAGATTGATTATCCCTCGCGCCGTGGTCCCGTATATCGTGTATATCCTGTATATATACGTCGTATATTATACGTATTATATGGCAAAGTGCCATAAAATTATCATGAGTTATGGTTATTGAAAATCGACAGTTTGTGAAAATCACCTATCTTTTATTTCTCCGCTGCCGATGCTTATTACTTTCACTGGTATTACACTTCGGAAAACTTTCGATAGTTGAGAAATCAGCGAAGCCTTACTTGTTTATACACGCCGGGAGTATATAGATACACGCGCGCGCGAGTATATACAAGCGAAGCATCCGTAATTCTCCTTTTCATTAGGTAAGGCCCCACATAATTCATTACTACGTTATTACACTGACATACTACTCTCGAGTCGTACGTTCATACATATTATATGCGGTCAGCTTTTCCCCTCTCTTATGTATTTTCTTTCTCTTCTCTCTACCCTTGCGAGTGAGCCGGTGCTTAGCGCGGAGACGATGCTAAATCAGCGCTAGGATTTTTCTAACAATAATGTATGGGACAGTACGTACTGCATCGGCTCGAGTCTGGTTGGTGAAATTTATGCTTTTGCGGTTATAAGCTATATCTCGCTTGACTATTCGTTATTTCTATTGTTAGCGACCGTAGCATTTTCGGTTCAGGTCTTATCAATTTTTTATCGGTGACATCCATGAATTATCCCACGCTGATCCATTACTCGATTCGTGTAGGTACTTGCATTACTCGTTAGATCTTGGAAAATATCGCTTCTTGCACACTGGTCTTTTTCATCTTTACGCAGGAATTTCAAATGAGCTAATTGAAGTGATTTAACTCAAAGACTTTTCTTATTGCCTTTCACGGAGTATACAAAATAATCAAGTGAATACATTCAACCGGTAAACTTTGTTGGAGTGCAATTGAAGGAAAACTTTATTTCATTATGGAAAATCAAAAGTGCCCTTTTCATTCAATCATATTACAAGCCTGGGAACACGACACTCGAATGGGATATATAGGATATAGCTGCGTACGAACAACTCGAAGCCAGATTTTTCTCATCAAAACTTGGCTGGATTTGAAACTTCGCGGTGTACAGGGGGAAGACATTTTTCATGGTGTGTTTCGAGCATCAAAGTTTCCGATTTTCACGAGCTTCTCTCTCTTATCGCTCAATCTCGAGCCATTGCTGGCATTGCGAGAGCGCAAGTATAAAATAATAATAGTTTACGGTAATATTTTCCGTAACGTGCAGCGCCGGTGGCTCGTTATATGCTTTATTCAGTGGGCAATTTGGATGTAACGGTGTTGAGCTGCAAAGTGACCAATCGTGTGTCATTTATCGAGCGACTTGTTGGCGACTGCAATCGAATCGCTATTTTATTCATCGCATACATAAATGTACGTTTATGTGACTTTTAAGCCGACGTAAGTAACGGCATACTCTGTAGATCCCCATCAGACTGCAATCGATGACTCGTATTATTTTATGATGAGTATTAGGAAATATTTTGCAATGAATGAAATCTTTACTATGGATACAAGTGCAAAACAAGAAAGATGAGTATAGGAATACTTAAATAGGTGTTGGTCGCAAAGAGTAAGGAGGAATTTACTTTTTTTCATTGATGAATTCTTTAGTATTGGCATACGAGAATTTTGAAAAAAAATATAATCTCGTTAATGATGGAATAAATATCGTTTAATGAGATATGAATATGCATAAGATAATTTATTCACTGTTGTGCTTTACTTGATTTGTGCTGAAAAAAATTACAAGCAATATCGCAAGAATCGCTGTAAAGTTTTTATAAAATGAATATAATGCACGTCGAGAGTACAAAAACAACCTCGTTGAATCATTAAGGAGGTGCGCACTCACTAATTTAAGAGCAGGTACACGGGGGCGAGAGAGAGAGAGAGAGAGAGAGAGAGCGAGAGGAGGGTTCTGGTTACTTCGGGAACGAGACTCGAGCTCGAGCAATGATTATTTGAAAAGATTGGATCGCGCGCGCGTTTGCACAGTGCAGAGCCCCGCGACCTCGTTTGCTCTTGCTCACTCCAATGTCCCGCTCTCGCATGAATAAATGAGACCAAAAATTGTTCCTCCTTGGCTTTTGCAGCTCCTCGAGCGGCCTGGTCTTTTTCCTGATGCTGTGCGCGACGATTTACGAGTACCGCAGCGGCGCGTTCAGCGGCGGAAAAGCCGTCACGCCGGACCTTGAGTCCCTGAGCGCGTCCAACAACAACGAGCGCAAAATCGAGTACGCCGACAAGAATCTGGCCGAGGAGCAGCAGCGCATCACCTGCGGCATGAGCGGCCTGGCCGGCAGCAACGGCGGCAGCGGCGGCGGTGACGGGGCCAACGACAAGGAGCTCATCGAGAAAGCGGAGAAAGGCGTCAACGACGTCATTGTCAAGGATAGCCTCGCCCGTACCAAGGATAAAAGTGAGGATCTTTTTTAATTTTCCTCCACTTAATTATTATATTTATGACTCATTGTCGCAACGTCCTGAAAACTATCGACCTAATTATTTGTGCCTCGTGCAATTTATGTGCACGCGTGTTCGCAGGCATCTTACTGAGCTGTTTGCTAGCCTTCAGCCCGATAGCCAATGGCAGCAAGATCATCAGCACGGAACCGGCCACGAAAAGCAGTCTTACATGTTTGCACGGCCTGCGAGTCCTGTCCCTCGGCTGGGTCGTCATGGTTCACACCTATTTACAAGTATTTTCCATCGCAGGTATGTGAAATGCAACGACGACGACGACGACGACGTGCTGATCGTTTCGGTTTTCCCTTACGTCTCGAATCTCGATCGGCGACCTTGAATTAAATCGAGCTTGGCGTAAGTAGTGTGTGTGACGCATGAGGCACTTGCGCCTTCGGATTTCTCGCGAATCGATTTGCCCTTTCAGGGATGTGCCCTTGAAACTCCTGCGACGGCCCCGCGTGTATCAAAAGCAATTCGCGCGTCAGATCGAAACGACGCGACCTGCACACGATGAGTTTCGAACGTGTATGTGTGTGTATATCTTTTAAGCACGCACAGTTTGACTTGAAAATGTATTATCAACGTGCGAGTATATCGCGTGTACGTGCGAGCGCGAACTTTCACTGATAACTTATGAATATAAACTCGTGTGAGTGTCGTGTACGCGCGTGTGTGCGAGCATATAAATGCAATATACACATTACACAGACGCCTCGGAGCTTCGGGAGACAACAACATACCTGTGCGTGCTAAAAAATGACGACCATGACGCCTTTCTCTTTTATATACTTGTGTTTACGCGCACACGTACGAGCGTGTATAAAACACGTATTAAATATTGCATGTACTTGCATGTGTGCACCTGTACCCGTGCGATGGCTGGGCTGCTCTTTCCTCGATGATGCGCTCCGATGTGCTGAAAAAACGCAGAGAACAAGATTTTGCGCACCGTCACCGAGAGGAACTTCATGTTTCAGACGATCAGCAATGCCACCTTCTCCGTCGACACGTTTTTCTTTATCAGGTGGGTGGCATCTTTGAAGGATCGTATTATATTATACAAGCTCGAGAGCGCGCCGAACAATGTCGCATCGGAACGTTGCGACAAAGAATCAACCCAGAGGCTGATTGAAAAAGTTCTCGTGTTTATATGTCGTGTATATTGTATAAAACTCGCGAGCTCGACGTTCGATGACGAGATTATATTCAAAAGCACGTGCTCGAGGCGCAGGCAATATTAACTCGAGCGTAAGCGACGTTTATACACACAGTGTATATAATACGTCGAGTATACGGACGCGGCTATTGTTTTCCGTCCAAGATTAAACGTCGGATATGGAATTCGGACTCGTTAAAGACATCCTCTCTCTCCACTCGAAAGGTAAATCGGCCCGAGCCGAAAGTCGTTAAAGCGGGGTTGAGCAGGCGATCGTAACGGCGTGTCGGGGATCGCCAGCAGCACGCGTTTGTATATTATAAATATGATATAATCGATAGATGACGCGCGCGCGAAGTTAAGCTGGAGCTGCTGCCACGAAATTGCCGCGCGAAAATGGAGCGTATTTACTCGCTTTATAGTACCGCCACAGGGTCGCTCTCGAGTATACAGGTATTTATTACGTAGCCGAGCAAAACCATATAACGAGGCGATAATGATTTTCCAGCGGTCTGCTGGTGACTATATTGTTCTATCGCTCCCTGGCCTCTGGAACTTCGCCGAGCGATAAGGGCAACTTTCTCAGCGCGAGCATGAGCAAGTTCCTTATCATGATACTCTACAGATTTATCCGGTAGGTGCACTGCATTTGTCGTGTACAAAAATACGTACAATCGATTTCATATTTGTACCTAACTTGACAACAATGTTACTTTGCTTTGTCTTTGCATCAAAGCTTGACGCCGTCTTACCTCTTTGTGCTGGGCGTCAACGCGATAGCCATGCGTTACACCATGACCGTGTCGGTATTCTCGCCGCAGATCATCGATCAATACACCTGTGAGCAGTTCTGGTGGAGGAACGCACTCTACGTCAACTCGCTTTACCCGCGTACCGAGATGGTAAGCAATATATGCCCTATCAGATTTTTTGATCTGATGCTTCTTATGATACGTTTGGCGTGGAGACCTGTTCGTGAAAAAGGAGGAGGCCTAACAATCGGAGGAATATAGACTACCACATTAATACCGATTAATAGGTGTCGAAAATACATTTAGAGGAATTTTGTTGAAGTTTCACTTTTAAAAGCTGTCTTATACCTAGTTAGAAATACTCAATACTCAATTTCATGGCTTGTTTTTAGACCACGAAAAATTATTTGTCCGTAATCATTAATAAGGGTTACTTGTTATGTGATGATAATTCAACTATAACTAATATGGGTTTGGCTATTCAGGGGAAATTTGTATACAAAATTTTTGATTTTCGTGTACGAAATTCTAAAATTGGTAAACGAAACTCCAAATAACCCGGAATAACCCTATTTTCGTGTACGAAAATCAAAAATTTCGTGCACGAATTTCCCCTGAATAGCCATTTCGAACTAATATAATAATAATATAATAACCTAATCTAATTATTAATATAATAATCTAACACTAAACAATGCAAAAACAGTAAGCAAAATGCAAAACCTAGCTTTGACTTATATTATATTATTATTTTTACTTTGCCACTTGCAGATTTATAGATAAACGTAATTGCCATCTAGCATCGCAGGAATAAAGTATTGGTATCAATTATGAAATAATTAATAATTCTTACATGATTGAAACAGAAAAATCGCAGAAAACTAGCTAATCAAATGTATTGTATTTTAAAACCTGATCAATTGTAATTTTTTTGCCACTTGACAATTATTATAGAGCTTTTTTACCCGGGTATACAATTGCTTGTGGACTTTAAAAATGAGTTATATCTTTTTACAAAAACGTAAGAATTTACGTAACAGAATTTACTTATTCGCTATCTGCATGTGAATAGAGAGGATCGCAGCGCTGGCATCGACTTTAACATGTGTTCTTATGGGAATAGATCCAAAAAATGCACTCGCCGAACTAAAATTTACCTATAAGAAATAACATGGAATTTCTCCAAAACTGAGGGTACCACGGGTTATGCAGGTAGCCAATATTGTAACGATATTTATTGTAGCCGAAGTACGTGTCACACTCGATTACGAGCTTTTTGATTCCATCGACAGATGGAGTATTGCAAATCCGCAAGTGGCAAACACATTTTCAAGTAGTTTATATTGGAAACGTTTTAAATGTCTAATCAGAAGTCTTGACGATTGTTGTACATGCTAATCGTTGAATTTTCGTCGTCGCAGTGCATGCTGTGGAGTTGGTACATGGCCAACGACATGCAGTTCTACGTGCTGGGCATCCTACTGCTGCTGCTGTCAGTCAAGTATTTCCGCGCGGTCGCCTTCACGATACTGGCCGTCATGGTGTCTTCCTGCCTCACCACCTTCGTCATCGCTTACAAAAACGATTACATAGCTAGGTATAATATGCACGCACTTTATACATTACATATGGCGTTTAGACGCCGATAATAATATATCTCACATGTACCATATAGCCGTGACATAATATGTCCCGGTAAGATATGTCTATGGGCGCCGCGTGCTATACTATATACCGTACGCACAATGCATAATCGAACGCGGCGCGCAGGCAGTTATAGTCTTGCGGGCGCGCACGAGTACTTATACATATGTGCCGTAGTCTTTGCGCAACTCAGCGCGTTATCTAATATTGAAATCCACGTGTGTGTGTGTGTGCGATGCTGCCCGCCGCGAGTATGTTAAGAGCTACTCGAGAGAGCCAAAGTATCTTTCTCTCTCGCTCGAATCGTTATCCCAGTTAAGCGCATTTACCGCTTCCGTATGTATGTATACAGTATACATAAATACGCGCTTATAATATGCACGCGTGGCACTAAAAGAAAAATAAAACAATATATATATCGAACCGAGACCGCCGCGTCCGAGTGCCGACTTTGCATATTAGCAGCGGCAACAGACACCGCAGCAGCTGTGTTGCCGATTTGTTTGTTTTTGTTGCCGCGATCTCCGCGAGTGCATATTCATGAGGATCGCGCGCCGAAGCGATAACGCGGCCCGTCATTCTTTGCGCGCCCAGCAAAGATGAGCAAAACAAGCTCGCCTAGCATTAAAACGCGATCGCAAGCCCATCCACCCACTCGCTCACCGCCACCTTTTCACGCTCGAATATTACGAACGAATAATGATAATGATTGGCGCGCCCTTTTTGCACGCAGGATTCAAGAGCCATTTGCGCTATTCGACGAGCTTTACGACAAGCCTTGGCTGCGCGCTGGACCATATTTCATCGGCACGATGACCGGCTATCTGCTTTTTAAGACCAACTGCAACATCAAGATGCCCATCGTGAGTAGCACACATATATAGAGAGAGTGAGGAACTCGCGCACTCGATACATGCGCGCACCCGGGGTATATATTACATAATACACAGACTCCCCGAGTGCGCTGCGCATAAATCATGGCCGAGGCTATTTTCTAACTCGAGCTTTTTCCAACACGAGCATAGGTGCATGTATGGCTCTAGCTCCGGCACATCGCGTGAGCTATAGCCCCGCATGTTTATGATAAATTATTCGCAGGCAGTCTTGAATTTTTTCTATACATTGATGCACTTCTTTTTTCTGTCTATATTCTCGGCTTCCGCCACCAACACTACCGCAACCTTACACAGCTACTACGAGGAGTCGGCTGGGTCGCATCGTCCCTGATAATGGGCTCGCTGGTTTACGGCCTGTATCCGGAGAACCTGAGCGTCACGGTGAGCTCGGTGTACGCGGCGCTGGGCCACACCGCCTGGGCCATCGCCGTCAGCTTCATCGTCGTGCAGTGCTGCACCGGAGCGGCGCCCCTCGTCGACAAGCTGCTCTCGCTCAGGATCATCTATCCGCTGTCGAGGCTGACCTACTGCGCCTACCTGGTGCACCCCACCATGATGATGTTCACGGCTACGCAGATGGACGGGCCTCTGCATCTGCACAACGGCATTGTCGTGAGTTTTCCATTATTCTGACGCGCGTGTTTAACAGCAGCAGCAGTAGCTCAATGGAAAATTCGAGTGCGAGTTTTTTGTGCGCGCGACAATCGATTGCGCAACGATCGTCGAGTCCGATAGAGCAGAGCGCGCGGCCGAAAGAGCAAGAGAGCTTTTCCAATTTAAACATTTTACATAACAATGTTTGCGAGTGTGTGTGTGAATAGTTAATGTGTATGCGTTGGCCCCTCGGGGCACGTGCGCGTTTACTCTTCTATATCGCTTTCTATTAATCTGCTTTCGATCGCGCGGACCCGGCCGCTGGCACAGCACTATAGCTCATTTATAACGATGCACGTGATTTTTTCGCAGCTGATCGTGTACTTTGGCAATCTCGTGGCAGCCTTCCTTGTGGCGTTCTGCATCTCCGTAGCGTTCGAGGCGCCCGTCGTTAATCTACTCAAGCTGATGCTGTCTCCGAAAAAGAGATCGAGATAGGAGGAGGTACGAAGCTCTGTCGCAAACAACAGCAACGACAAAAAAACCGTCCGAGATGGGGCATCCAGTATAGGCTTAGCGGAATAAACCAACTTTTGGAATGTTCTACCGTGTTTTCACGTAAGTCCAACCAACTTTTTTATGCACTACTGTGGCAGTGTAAAGCTTTTTTCTTTTATTTTGTCTCGTTCTTTCTTTGTACTCACGTGAAATATTTTTTTTGCAGATTAAGAACGACATATGTTTTTTCGTGACCATACTTCCCACTGAAGAGATTATATAAATACTCCCGTTGGCTTCAGTAGCGGCGAATCGTCCACGACACTAATGTATTCGTTCTATATTTTTTAATTTTTTAATTTTTTTGAAATTATTTTCCATCTTTTTTTTCATTTTTTTAAGGGATTGAAAGAATCGAAAAGTCTTCTTGTGCAAACGATGCAAGCGACTGTAGAAGTATAGCTATTTTTTAGTAACTTTTATTTTTATTATGGAAATAGAATTTAAGTAACCAAACCGATTCAATCGCATAGAATGACGAAGTAAATACTCTCATCGAATGCAGAGGCCTTTCTCAAGCTCGAAAAAGTTCGGTGTTTCAATTCTATTTTCATGTATGTATAAAAAAGTTTTTGCAGTTTTTTAAAGTTATTACTTAACTAGAGATTTAAGTGAGGCGATTAAAGGTTTGAGCGAATGAACGCTTGCAAACATGTTTTTAGTAAGAATAATGTCTATATGAAATAATCAAAATAATATTTGTTAATGGTTATGAGTACGTTAAGGCTATAGTAAGTTTAGAAATTATTGTATGAAAGATCATTGTATTATATAGTTTTTAATTCGTTACCATATTCAATAAAAATTAGTCTTAAGACTTGTTTATATTCAAAAAATTTGTCTTGACAATATTTATCAATTCGCGAGCTTACCCGTGAAGTAACTAATATTTTGCATGGAATCATAGAGAAAATTCATTTATCATTACTGTTCCGTATTTTACAGAAGCTGCATACAAATTGATCAAAAAGTTAATGAAATTTCCACCAAAATTAATGTGAAGCGCAACTGCTAGATGGCGAGTGAGTTTCTGTTAATCTGCAAACGACAAAATGATAATAATGATATAAAGCATTTTAATGTAAATATTTTTATCAGTATCCGAATCTTAAAAGATGCAAAACAACGTTGAAGCACAAAAAGTGAAAAACAAACAAACGATCATACGAATTAGAAGTATTAAAACAAGTCGTTACTTCCACTAAATGTGGAGAGTGCAAAAAAAATCTCTACGCACGAGTCTAGTAAAATGTATACAGAGATTCGTATTTCTCGTAAAATCCCTGCGGTTCGCGCATGTAAAATAAAACCCTTTCTATTCAGTTTCTACACCTTTTCATTAAAAAGTTTTTGATCGAAACTTTTCCATACCTGCATAAATCTCCAGCGATCGATCAGCGTGCGTCGCTGCATTCACAATTTTGGGGATGATCATTTTGCCCTAGTTATTTCGGTGTGAATCAAATAGAGCTGCTATAACGCTGAATCGAGAGAGAGAGAGAGAGAGTAGAAGAGCTTGTCTTGATAATATAGTGAACAGGCACTGCTCCGCGTATAATGCGTGAACGTGCCTGTCTCGCGTTAGCAGAAAATGTACCGCGTTTACGCCTGTATACCTGGCCAAGTTTACTACACGAGAGCATTACGAATGGCCTGTTGTGCATGTGCTGCTGCTCACTTTATTGTGTTTTTACCTCTGTATATATTTCTTATTTTCACGCCGTATTACGTATTATATGTATATGAGTTACGTGCTAAGCCGAGGAAAAAGGAGTTGGAGTTTTCTTGGCAGAATTTATATCTCGCGTTTGTATTCTTGATTGTTGATTTAGGAGATTTTTTTTCTACCCCCCTCAAGTCGAGTACATATGGATTTCATAAATCATGCACGATGCGCGCGGTATATATATCTCTTCCTTGACTCTCGACGATACAGCAACTTTTTTTGGCACGCTCGCCCATATATATGCATATCGCCGAGTATACGTATACGTTCGGGATTCTCTCTATTCGGCTGCGAGAGAGGGAGAGAGAGAGAACTGTATTATCGTAATTTAATTGGGGCGTGCTTGTTTCGAGTGCGCAGCGTATCGATGTGTGTTTTCGAAAATTCAATAAAGACCGTTCTCGCGCGAGGCACAGACAGGGTGTGTTTCAGGGAGTGCACTCGAGGCGCGTTATACCATTTTTTCGACATTGTTCGACGTAGTTTAATTGTTAGTCGATGAACTGCAAAATCAGTCAGTCAGTTTTCCGATCTAATAAAAAAGATATTGCCACAACAGGGGGAAAAAAATTTTTAAACCTTCTTTTTGTAATTTCTATTGAATTATTAAGCTGAAAATTTCCATACAATATCCTTTGCTTTTTTATTCTTTGCCCTTTAAAAAATATTTAATAGAAATTACTGTCAACGCATTAAAAACTTTATATTAAGGGGGGGGTATAGTATTTTTCGAAAAAATTTTCGATACTTTTTTTATTGTCTTATTCGATTCTATATACATTCAAGAGTATTCAGTTAAAATTTTAAGCCAATCGGAACAAAATTAACCAAGATATTGCCATTTTAACGCACGTGCAATAAGGAAGAAGGACTGGACCTCAAAATCTTTAAACGCGTTTCCTGAACAATAGCATTTTCAAAGACGGTGTACATCATATCTCAAAAACTTATTGACCGATCTTTTTGAAATTTTACACCGTTATTTATTAACTATTTTACTAGGTAGTGACGTTGAGATATTTTCATTTTTGGGAAAATTTTCATTTTTTTCAACAATTTTCCGAAAAAAAAGTGCACTTTTTCGATTTTTTCCCATTTTTTCAACTTCAAAATCACGCCAAATTTTCAAAAATGAAAATATTTTAAAAAACTCGACGTCAGTACCTTCAGAATCCTCTAAACTAATAAAAAAATGTCATTAGGCTTGTTTCTGATGATTCTGCGCGGAGTTATCGTGTACACCGCATTTTTCGACGTGTTTTCTTCAAACCGATGCCCCAGGCTCATTTTTCAATACTTTTCAACAAAAATTTAGCTGAGTACTCTTGAAGTGATGCTTTTTAGTGTACAAATCGATATTACTACATTTTCATTACTAGATTTCAAAAAATTAATCTCAAAAATGAGCAAAAATAACTAAAAATTAACTATACCCCCCCCTTAAAACTAGCTCAGGGATAATTTTTATAATTCTCTTCGGCGGTATACCTAAAGATAAAGAGTGCAAATAAAAAAAATTTTTGTTTTAGGCTCGGGGACTTGGAAAAAAAAGAATGGAAAATTTTGAATTTAACAATGGTAAAAAAGAAAGTTTCTTCAATCTGGCTGAGCTATGCTTTTTTTCTGTTTTTTTTTCTTCTGCAAATTGGGAATTGGTGCGACACGCCGCCTTTACGCGCACAACGTCGTCTAGCGAGTAATCTCGAGGCTCTTGTGCTACAGTAGTTATAGCGCCTCGCTACCGGAAATCTCTCAGAGATTTGCGATATTCATGCCTGACTGAAAAACAAAAGAACTTTTTTTTCTCAACTGGCTTGACACAGCTCGACGCTGTTTTAGTTTTTCATGCCGCTCCTATAACCTACGTTTTCTCTTGACCCTCTCGGCAATTCATTCTTCCTAACGTTAATTTATTATTATTTTTTTGATGTGTCGATTGTTAGATTTATTATATTAATTTGCAAAAAATTTCACGCCTCTGCGCCTCTTTTTTTATTGTATACAACGGACACAAGCACTGCGTGAATTTTTGATCTCGACAAATTTTAATTACACTGCCGCATGCGGAGGAGTTCAAGACTCTCGTATTTTACTTGTATACATGCTTGTAACACGCACACACACACTTGCGCGCGCAGTCATGCTCATATGTGTCACAGGAGAAATATGTTGTAGATATTTTAAAGAGTAGCCAGTTGCGCAGTAATAATTCACGCATTATTTACATGATTAGTTAAATTTCTCATAGTGTTAATAAGTACTGTAAGTGGGAAACTTTTTTTATACAATTTTTATTTCCATTGAATTTAGGTTGCATACAATTTTTGTGCTTCTAATGATAAATGAAAATTAAAAAATCTGTTAACATTTTTTACGAATTTTATATATACCTATAGGTTCATTTTCTGGCTTTTTGAATTTTAAACTGCGCTTTAAATTAAGTTATGCTTTCAAATTTGAAAATGCGCAACAATCTCACATTTTATGGAACACTAAATATATGAAATATTAATAGCTGACGTTAAAACAGACTTGAAAATCAGTGAAAATTAACAAATTTTTCGAAGTAATCTCTCGTAATCTCTAGTAGAAAATTTATAAAAGTTAATTTCACAATTGATCTACTCAAAAACCAATTGAATAGTTCCAAATTGTAAACGCTAGAAATATAAACATTACCGGTACTGGTTGGCAAATGCATACGATCGAAACAATCGTATATTATATAAATTTTTGTTATATTTTGTTGTGTATTCTTTACATATTAACAAGTTTTTAAAAATTTTTTTCATTTCTAAGAAAATATCGAATGAGTCCAATGAAAAAATTTGCCGATTTAGTGACGTGTCATTTGGACTCATTACATTTATACACATTTACGTTTATGCATAAAGCGTTGTAAAAATTTTGTACAAAATCAAAAGTGCATTTATTATATTATTGTAACTCGTAAAGTGAAAATTAGATTTAATTTTAGTTTCCTACACAAGTGGCCGAATTACACTTTAATTATCACATCGATTGTACAATAATCGCAGAGACGAATCAGATTTTTCCATGTACAGTCAAAAAAATCAGATAAAACGAATCTCGAATGAATCGCATCTGGACCACAGAAAAGTTGGGTGCGTTCGCTTGAAAATTTCAAGATCAAGAAAACCACGTTTTGACTTATATCATCATTTTTGCTTTGCCACTTGCAGATTTACAAACGCTATCTAGTGGCTTCAAGTACTATTATCCATTGAAAGTAGGATTACATTCTTTTGAATCAACTGTCATTTTCAGGTCATTTAAAATGCGTTAAATAATCGTAACATAAATGTAATAGAAAAAAATTAATTGTAATGTATTAAATTAATAGTAATATATTAAAAAACTTTTAAATGGACATTTTGTAGTTATCAGGCCAACATTAATGCTCAACATTTCTACCAGGGGTAAGATGTTCCAAAATTATAAAATAAAATTGGCAAATTTTTTGTTTTATAATCAAAACACTTGATTATATATCTAAATATTTAATTTTTTAGTGACCCATCAAATTAAGCAGTCAATTTCTCCAACAGCGGTAATAAAGGAAATAATTTACCGTCGCTTGCATTAAGAGTATGACATTATGACGTTAAAAGCTGACAAGGCGGCTTTAGCACTTCACAATAATGCCTTACACTCGCAGCAATCGAAGTGGTTACTGTAAATTTCATAAGAAAAGCTCGTAAATGTCGTCGAAGAAACAAGATGCAAGGTGTATCTATGTGGGTGTGCAAGTGCACACTCGTTGAGAGAGACTGCTAAGTTTTTAGTCCTTAGCCAGGAGAGCACCGAAGAGACTTTTAAGATTATCCGCGCTGCTGCGGCGAGAATATAACACGAGAACCGCAGCGCATCTTTCCATGCACACACAAAAGCTCGAGAGAGCGGCTATACAGCGACAGTACATGACAAAGTTTGGCCCGAACTCGCACACACGTACACACAACAGTCGCGTAACAGAAAGCTTTCGTGGACGCGGGGTAAGGAGGGTATGGAAGGCGAGCGCACTAGCTTATATTATGCGCGCGCGCGAGCGCCGCAGCCGAGGCAGTAAAGTAAGATTTCCAGGCGTGCAGGGGCGGCGATGGCACCCGCATTGCGTGGACGCGCTGATACCAAAGTTTTCGTGTACAACGCGGCAAAAGCTCGAGCTTTCTAGGCTGCTGCTCACCTTTTGTATACAAGTGCCGCGTGCGCGATAAGCGAAGATGCATCCAAGAAAATTACGGTCCAGACTCTCTCGCGAGAGTTAAGGCTTTCTCTCCGCAAGTATATGCGAGAGCTTCGACGATATATAGTCCGAAGGACTGTTCAGACAATTCGAGGAAATTCGATAACCGCCGTGGAGAGAGAAACATTTTTACGCTCGCATAAGATATAGACGGCTCTCCTCGCTTGTGTGTCTGTAGGTGAACCAGTGTGGTGGTAGTAACCCAGTCACCGACATATTGAACACGGCAGCCGCCGCGTACAGCACATTAAGCCTATACGTGCTATATACATATCCGTTGGCCTATGCCGAGCAGCAGCAGCAGCAGCGGATTCGCGTTGAACAGCCGCCGCGCCGATAGTCGGGCATGCGCAAGCCTTTCCGATGAGAGAGAGCGAGAAGCACGCCGCCGCTGCTTTTTCGCGCATATAGCATGCGAATGCAATACACCGGCGGCTACGACGACGTCGACGGGTATACGGCTATACGGCGAGAGCTCACGGTATCAGTCGGCCAAGCGCCACTATGCACTCCTCACAGCTGCTGTATGCACGCCACCTCGTCGACTGCATCGCGCGCAAAAGCAGTACTCACGTGTCCGACGTTGCGTGAATATCATACGTATGTTTCACGGTTTTTCGACTGCCTCTTTTTTTGGGGATCGAGCGCGTTTCGTTTTCCGAATGACGCGAATGACGAGTATATAATAATTCAGCCTCGAATGCGCGACACGTGGTGGTTGTTGTTGTTCGTTTGACTGATTCGACGTCGCGGCTCTTTGACACGCGTTGACAGTTTTAAAGCCAGCATGGATTTTTATCGCGCGAAAGTAAGAAAAGAGACGAACACGGCGCTACACGCGAGTAATGTATAACGGTGCAGTAGTGCAGCTTACATTAAACAAGCCTATACATCGTGACAAAGTGACTCTTGTTGTTGTGTGACTTTACACGTCCGTGTATGTGTGTTATATATTAATGTCAATGTGTATATGTGTGTGTGTTGGTGCGAGCGCGTGTACACGTCTAGAAGCACAAAGTACAGAGGCTGATTAATAGTAGCGCTGTACATATATAGCGCGTCGATTTTTCTTTCTCTCTCTCTTTCTCTCTTTGCCTCTTGCTTCTTCGCTCAAGCGACTCCGAGCCTGCTTTTTTTTCTTCTTGCTTTTTCCGTGTCGAGTGTGCGTGTACATGCGGTGTAGTGCACTAAACAAACGAGCTGCTTCGTATACATACACCTGCCTCGCTCTAAGCAAGAGAATTCACAATGCATTGAAGTAGCGAAGAAAATATCGAATTAATCGAAAAGGTAAGAATTCACCGTTCCCAATTGTTTTTCTTTAGCGAGAGAGAAAAAATAAACGAGGCAAAAAAGCCCCGAGCTTGCAACGACGATATACACAACAGACCCATCAAAGAGTATTCGACATTGGATATTCAATTTCATTCGTAGAGCTTCGTAAGAGAAGCATTTATATCGAGAGATTTTTCAGGGCTTTTGCCTACAGATAAGAATCTGAGGGCGTTCAGCGGCGGTACGGAAATGGAATTTTTTATTCAATAAATGTATACATTTGTAACTGTCAATTACTGCGCCCGTTCGAGTGAGGCAAGAGACCCGATAAGCATCGGGAAACTTTTACACATAATAATCATGATACTTCAGATATGAAATCGCATATGTGCTATGTCAATAATAGGTGTGTGTAGCTATTTGCGAGGTAAATTTAGTTCGTATACACACTGCGATGTGTTCAAAAGTGCATTGTATCTTTGTGGTTTGATCATGATGGTCATATCGACCATTCACATTTACCGAATATTATATTTATTATGACTGTGTCAAGAGCAGAATTTATAATTTATTATTCAGACTGCATTTGACACGTAGATAATGCCAAAAGAGGGAACGATGAGAACCCAGAAAACGATGTGTCGCGCGGCAAGGCAGACATTATCTCGTGGGGGGCACGACTTTTGTGATTTTATTGCTAGCCGCGCAATTAAAAAGTTTTTAATTATAAAAGGATATGTAAAACACGGAATAACATTGAATAAATATACGCGAGAAAAAGAGAGAAAAATTTTACAATTGAAATTGGGTTTAATGAATTATTTATAAACACTTCATCGGAAGAACGCGCAAGTTAATGAATAACATTAATATATTTAAAAAAAATTACCATTTACATAACTGGGTTGTTGAAGAATAATTAATTATGCAAAAGTGAGATTTAAGTTTTAATCTTATTATTCGTGGCTCAGCAATGAGTCCCGTACGCGAGCTTAGTAGTGCAGTAGTAGTAGTATACGATTATAGTCAGACATTTGATTCTCGCTCATTAAATAATTCGTAGAATGATTATCAGAAGAAAAACGAATATGCACGAACGCACACACACGCGCACGTATCCGCACACGTATTGACGTAAAATTACGTTAAGCTCGCAGCATACATTCATACAAGAACGAACATGAATCGTGCGTGTAAGTTTCGCAAGCGAGCGAAAGAGAGCGTCGAGTTATAGAGAGAGAAAGCTCATCTGATCGCTTTGAAGATTATCGAGTTTGTCTCGAATGCACTTGCGAACGAAGACTTCTCTCTCTCGTCTTAGATGCTTTCCCGGCGCGAGTTCGAGGGAACGGCGGCGGGGATCCTTTCCTGGATAGCAGCGCAACTTAACGTTATATACGCGTGCACACGGTTGAGCGTCCTATTTTCAACTGCGCGTGCACCGTTAAACCCTCGCTCGCTAGCGAACAGAACGAATCGAATTAAGGAACAATTATTTCATCCATAAGAAATACTCCGCGCGTCTTTCGATCTCGGTTTATCTATAAGCCTCCATGAAAATAAAAAGAATCTGTTGGCGGATTTATCTTTAATTCGTTAGCTTCCTTGCGTGCTTTTTTTCCTTTTCTTTCTCCCATTATCGGTTTACTTATGATTTTTATATATAAAACTTCACATATAGTACACTTCTACACCTCCGCTGGAGGTTCTTGTTCGCTGCGATCGGAGCAATATCGCTAAACTAAAAATACAAAGCTCGGCGCCTGGCTATGCATGATTGGAAATACCTCGGCGTAATTCATAGAAATCTAATTAACATACATATACGTATATAAAGTTATATATTGCTATTATTATTATTACGAGAACGGCCGTGTGCTCGGAGGCGCGTTTTCACGGCTTGCGCGCTCGCCGCTTTCTCTCTCTCTCTCTCATACACATAAATCACAAACTCAGCCGCAAATAGCTCTGGTATAAGCCGTCTGAACAGCCTGCTGGCGTATCCCTTTCTCCTGCCACCGACACACACATACAGCAGCACACAGACACACATTCATGCCCGTATATAGACTTTCTACCCTCCTGCTGTTGGCCTCGTTGCTGCTGCAGGTCTGAGCCTTTATACTTTTTATCACTAGAGAGAACCTTCTTCTTCCTTTTCTTTATTTTCAACCTGCTCTTTCTCAGCCTTTAATCGATCGGCCAAGCTGGGTCTCTAGGCTGAAAATTCGTTGGGCCGCGCCTCGACGTTTTTCTCCTCGAGAAAATTGCCTCCTCTTGCCCGAGCGCCGTGATAAACCTCATTGAGCGAGATTATTTACGAGCTCATCGCGAAGCTCAATGGCTATTATACAATATACATTTTCAATCTTAGAATTTTACTCGGCACTGGGTCAACGTCATATCGCCTGTGCAGCCAGCGGAAAACTATACCAGCTGTGCGCGCGCGAATACACGGCTCAGGTGCGGACGTCGGTAGCACGGAAAAACCTCGAGGAAGCAAATAAAAGAAAAGTAAAAAAAGAAAAAAATATTGAAACGAGACTGCGCCGGACGACCGGTAAACTAATATACATTTTCTCGATAAAAGCACTTTAGCGGTAACGCACGCAACATGCATAGAGAATAGAGCGCGGAGGAGAGAAGTGCGAGAGACGTAGTAGAGAGGGCAGGAGGACGAGGGTGAGCGAACGACGCGCGTCTGCAGCTCTCCGGACTTTCCTCTACTACTCTACGTGTCTGTGCGCTGCTCTGCGGTCTTGCGATGATTCGATAAACAACATCCCTAAAGGATGTTCCGCTGCACTGGTCGCTACACACCTTCGGTATAGTACAAGACCGTAGCCGCACAGACGCGTGAATGTAGTGTGCAGTACGTGTGTGCGCTCGCCGGTGTCTCGTTGCTTCGTATTCCAAGGGTCAATCCACTTTCGTGCGTGGACTTTTAAACTAATTCTCTCGGATAATTATTGGACTTTGCGTTGGGGCGCAAATCTGGCTAAATAATTCATTGTACATTAGCGCGAAATCCTTGAAATATAATGGGCGTCACTCGTTGAGGACACATAAAAGTGACTCGAAGCCATATGTAAATATACGTTCGCCCCGTTCGTTTGTCAGAGCTTTTGAGTCTCTCTTTCTGTTCGACAACCATATTGGTCGACATTTCATTCTGTTAGTTTCAAACTCGGTTCGATTCACCGATCATCGCTAGAGAGTAAAAAAAAAAGAAAAAAAATAGAAGAGAATCACAACGCTCGTTATTATTGAAATGCTGTGATGGTGCAGACGAAGGATCGAGTCGCGCAGCGACGTTAATCTTGACGTCGCTTGAATGAGTCGCGACGTATACGCGCGCGTTCAGGCCAAAAGCTCGCTCCCTTCTTTCGGACCGAACGAAAAATCTCTTGCACGTAACAAATAAAAGCCACGCGTTCTCTCTCCTACTTTCTTTCTTTTTTTTCATACGACATCATATTCTATTCGAGTCGTATAAATATAACTGCGTTTTCAGCACTTTGCCAGTGGTGTTGAAAAAAGCTTTTCGCTTTGCACGGGGATCCATCCGTGCCAATGAAACGCTAGCTGGTTACGGCGCGCTGCGAAATAAAATGGAAATGTACGGTTAGAGGGTAATATTTGCGACCTTTTCTCGTGCGTGTGTTTTTTTATATTCTTTACGCGCGGTACCTCATTACGTTTGTAATTTTACCGTAAGTAAGCTCGTAAGATACGAGAAAATGTCAATACACTTGCCAAACTCGAAGAATGAACCACTTCGTTCATTGCCTGAAAATTAAACACAACTTTTTCCCTCTTAATTTTACCCATTGAACAAACGAGAAGAATATATATAACTTTGATTAACTAAATAATCATTTCACTTTAGTAGAAACGAAAAAAAGTGAGAAAGAGGGAAATGTAATGTTCTAAGTTTCCATTGGGCTGCGCAGCTCTTGTACCATCGATATTCGCGGAAGCGAAGCGCAGCCAGACGAACCGAGTTTTATCAAGTTAGAGTACGAAGAGTAAAAAAAAGACCCCCGAAGTAACTGCCTATAGATGTATTTAAAGTCTTTATATGATCAAGCGTGTATCTGGTTCTACGTTAATTAAGCGCCAATGAACGCGACACAAATCTTTAGAAAATTCAATTAGATACAAGTGCGAAAATGAGCTTTTCAATCGGATTACGGCAGCCTAGTGCCATAAACCCGACCCCTCGCCGCTTTCCTTTTCTGCACGAGAGGAAGGGGGATAAGAGAAAGAAGAAAGTAGGACCTCTCTACAAGTTATTCAGATTTCATTGGCTCGTACACTTTTTTGCCACTCGGCTCGAAGAAGAGCTCGGAGTCGAGTTGGAGAAAGATTTTGCCGCTGCTGCTGCAGCCGTCGTCGTTTTGATCTCGTTCCCTCGAATTTATGCATAAAGAGATGCATACGTGGGGAAGCTCTAGCTGTCGTATCGTAGCTGCTGGTGCTCACGATGACACTGTGCTATATCCATATAGAAAATTGAGATAGAACTGTAAAAAAGTCGAGTGGTTGCGAGGCCGTATATATAATGCGCGATGCTACATATAGATGCGCGTGCGGGAGGTATATCAGTGACTCCCAGGCGTCCAGCTGCGTCGCACCGGCAAAGCTAATGGGATTGTCCGACGCGTGTATAGTATGTACAGTATCTCGCTTCGGCTTCCACGACACTACTCGACGCAAATGACACGTGTACATACCTACAGCAGCAGCGATATTCTTGCGCGAGCTACTACTGGCTGCCTATCGCGATTTCGCGTCTTTTGATACACATGCAGCAATGTGTACTGTGTAGAAGCCGTGGTGGTCGCGACTCGCCTATATGAGCCATCTCGCAGCATGTGTATGTTCGGAGAGAACGAGAAAGAGAAAAGGATCGCCTCCTGTCGTGTGCGTGACGATTATTATCCATATATACCCTTTCATTCAGGCTGTATTCACGCAGGTCAGCCATCGCCACGCAGCTGACAGAGATAATG